GAATTCACTCATAAATTCCATCATCACAACGAATACATATATATTTTTACAAAGATTTTATTAATTTATCTTTAGAGGGGAAGGGAAGGAGAGAGGGAGAGAAACATCGATGTATGGTTGCTTTTTGTGTGTCCCCTGCTGGGAACTGGCCTGCAGGGAACCAGCCTGCAACCCAGGCATGTGCCCTGACTGGGAATCGAACCTCGATTGTCTGGTTCGCAGGCCCGTGCTCAATCCACTGAGCTACACCAGCCAGGGCCACGACGAATATTTTGATAGCTATCCTTTCACTTTTAAAATATGTACGTGTAAACATTTTTGTTTATGCAGGGTACAGCTTCGTGGCACAGTCTTTGCACTTAATATTTCATGTTGGTAGATTAAAAAACAATAATACTTTAATTATATCATTATGGGCCTATCATAATTTACTTAACCCGTTCTCTACAGCTGCACGTTCAGGTTGTTTCCAGCTTCTCACTCTGCGTATGTATCTTCGGGCATTTGTCCTACTATTTTCTCGAGATAGTATTCCTAGCACTGGAACTTCTTAATTAAAATACGTATTCAGATTGATCCTCAGGGTTCTGCCAACCTACGCTCCCAGCGACAGCCCACGCACGCCTGTTTCTCCGTGCCTCTCGACGATGCTTTCATGCGTGTCCATCTCAATTGGAAACTAGTATCTCACCTAATGGTTTTTTTTTTAACATACAGGTCTTTGATTACTAGAGAGGGTTAACATTTTCTGTTGACTGTTTACATCTGTGGATTATCTGTCCGTATCTTATGCTCCTCCACAACCATTTATTGGAGGAGCATATAAAAGGACCAGAAGCCTTTAAGGAACTGACTGAATGAAAAAGGCTTAGAGTGAGTTCAGAAAGGAAGGGAAGGAAGAAGGAAAAGAGAAATCAAAGATATTAAAAGCAAGAGTTCATATATTAAGTAGAAAAACTAGGAGCAGCTCTGGTCAGATTGAGAGTGGGTCATCTGCTCAGCCTGCTCCCAGCCTGACCACCCCGATCACCCAGCAGAAGCTGTCTATACCCTGTCTTCTATCTTAGGGCTTTAAGAAACTACATTTAAAACTATTGTTACACTGGCTGGTGTAGCTCAGTGGATTGAGTGCGGGCCTGCGAACCAGGGGACTGCGGTTTTATTCCCAGTCAGGGCACATGCCTGGGTTGCAGGCTAGTTCCCAGCAGGGGATGCACGAGAGGCAACCATACACTGATATTTCTCTCCCTCTCTCCTTCCCTTCCCCTCTAAAGATAAATAAGTAAAAAAAAAACTATTGTTACAAATGAGAACAATGCATTTGCAATTCTTTTTTAAAAAAAGATTTTATTTATCTATTTTAGACAGAGGGGAAGGGAGAGAGAAAGAGAGGGAGAGAAACATCTGTGTGGTTGCTTCTCACATGCCTCTCATCAGGGGCTTGGCCCGAATCCCAGGCATGTGCCCTGACTGGGAATTGAACTGGCAACCCTTTGGCTCACAGGTCAGTGCTCAATCCACTGAGCTACACCAGCCAGGGTATTTGCATTCTTTCCATAAACAATACACTGAATTAAGTTATGCCTGTTTTGATAGAGTTTTCTTAATTTTCTAAAGAAAATGAAGGCATGCAAGTGCATGGGAAAGTATGTTATCATTCCATCTCACTATGGTATGAACTATGTTATGCACCACATAGGCAACCCATTCACGTAGCAAGTAGACTACTGCGTAGGGAAGGAACTAACATCACCTCCAAAGGGCTGGCTTTGCAAATCACCCCTGTCAAACACACAAAACTCCTAAATCTCTTCCTCCACACTTATTACCCTTTCACCCGAGGGCCAGGATGCCTACAGCACAGCCACTCAAATGCCTTTCTGTCATTTCGGAGAGCAGCACAGTCATCATTTTACCACCCACTGGTTCCCCTCTTCAAGTTCCACATTTTCTTGCAGCTTTGGAGTTGGCAGTGACTTTCACTTCTCCTTTTGGGTTCGGCTAGTCACCAGCACTTACTATTCCTTCTTCCCTTTCAGAGACATGGAGAGTTGATGTTTCCCGACTTACACTGCCACTACCTTTATCTGGACCTTTATTACTTCATGTCTGGATTGCTGCAAGTCTCTCATCCTATAGAGTATTGCCACAATTTTTATGCAATCTAATGTCAGTTGAACTTGTTCAGCCTTCTGACCTGGTTTCTGTTGTATTCTCTGGTCGAGGCTTTATCTTTATTTTAGATTATAATGTGAGGGAGGAAGAAACTTTCCTCTAACCTCAAGGTTTGTTCCGCGGGTGTAATAATTGAATCTACACGAGACAACAAGAGAAAACAACCAAATGTAATACGTACGCATGGGAACCCCCCACACACGAGAGTCAGGGACAGAAAGTGAAAATGAGGTACATATGACATTCGAAACTAAGGATGAGATAAGGCACCTTGGAGTGTCACTGCAGGACGATAAGAAGAGCTGATGTTCAGTAATCAGTAGTTTACCCTGCCATATAGATAGGTCAGAAAAGGTTCTCTTTGACCCTGGCTTGGTGTGGTTCAGTGGATTGAGCATTGGCCTACAGACCGAAAGGCTGCTGATTCCATTCCCAGTCAGGGCACATGCCTGGGATGCAGGCCAGGTCCCCAGTGGGGGGCATGTGAGAGGCAACCGATTGATGTTTCTCTCGCATATCGCACATCAACCTTTCTCTCCCTCTTTCTTCCTCCTTCCTCCTCTCTCTAAAAAGAAATACATAAAATCTTTTTTTAAAAAAGGTCACCTTTGATAATCTCTTATTATGGGCAAAGCCCCCAATTCAGATTCTCCTAGCGAGTTGTGGGGAGGGGGCAGAAGTTTCTCTTGGGATCATAGGGTCTTGCTTGCCTTTTACAATTTTCTTGTTTTTAATTTATTTTTTAATTGAATTTATTGCAGTAACATTAGCTAATAAAATTACATAGGTTTGGGGGTACAATTCTATAATATCTCATCTGCATATTGTATTGTGTGTTCACCATTGCTTGCTGTTAGCTCAAAATAATCTGCATACCACAGAGACACCTCTTGGGGTGATTCATCCTGAACCCCTAACTTTCCAAGTGTTAGTTTCTCAGTGCTATATAAAAGAGGCAGAAAAGCTAAACATTACTAGTGGCTTTATGGATTTTCTTGGCATGCTCTAAGCATTCTTTCTTATTTAATTTTTATATTAAAAATGGTTTTTAAAATTAAAAAAAATTACAGTTCACATTCAATAGTATTTGGTACTGGTTCAGGCGGTATCTGACATTTGGTATCTGACAGCATAGTGGTTAGATAATCACACAGTTGACACAGCGACCCCCAGTTACACCCAGAACCCACCCGACACATCCTGACCTCCCTTTCGACTTGGACCTGACCACTTTTTAGTTCTCATCTTGTTTTGGTGCCTAGTCTCAGACTGCTATTTCCATTTTCCTTTTGGCACTGAAATGATTTTCTCATATTATTGCCTAGCAGTTTTGGTTCTTGTTTTTAGTGTCTAGAGTTCAGCCACCTACTCGAGACATAAGACTTGAGTCAGGACAAACTCTTCAACCTGGCACCGCCCGGCAACTGGCACTCCTCTCCGCCGCGGACTCTCTCTTCACCATTTACTTTTTACTGCGCCTTTCCAGGGCCGCCGTGCCGCACGACTCTAACGGTTTTCCGTATTAGAACACGCTGAGATTTACGTTCTCTCATCCCAGCTCTCTGCGGCCATTCCTTCTCCACCATTGTGGCTACTAGATGCCCACCCCAGTGTCTAGAACCAGCCCTAGCTGGAAATTAGAATTTTAATAGCTCTGGGCCTCAGGACCAACTCACCTCTGTAATCGGTCAAGTGGCATCACTCTGTTCCTCAGCTCTATTAAATGAGCTTCTTTCCAAGACCTGGGTCCTGGGTCCGGTTGGTACCTCGTGTCCCGTTTTGCCTCGGCGACATGCCTAGGGCTCCAGTCCTACAGGGAAGCCCTTACTGCTTCATGTGAAAACCCCTCATGCCAACTGCTGTCCAACTGCCATACGCATGGGACACCACTGACACACCGGACTGTGCCTGTAGCCGGTTCTGGCAAGTCGTGCCGGCCTCACCACAGCAGAGGGGTCTAATCACATCTGTGGACCACTTCTTTAGCCTTCCCAACTGCGCTGCCCTCCGTGCCTAGCAACAGCTGTCTCAAAATGAAAGGATACTTAGCCTCTTTTATTTATTTATCTTTAGAGGGGAAGGGAAGGAGAGAGAGGGAGAGAAATATCAATGTATGGTTGCCTCTCATGTGTTCCCTGCTGAGAACTGGGGCATGAGAACTGCAACCCAGGCATGTGCCCTGATGGTGAATCGAACCGCGATACTTTGGTCCGCAGGCCCGCGCTCAGTCCACTGAGCTACACCAGCCAGGGCTTCTTAGCCTCTTTTAAAACATGATGTTCCAATTAGAAAAGTATTCAGATGTTTTCTGATAATGAATATCAGCTCGCTTGTTAGAGATACTATACTCTCATTAAGTGATTTAAAGTCAGTCACCTTGACTCTAAAATCATCAAACTTTTAAAATATGACTTTGTAAACATCTTTACCATACTGTGTACTTTCTTCTGTGGGCTGACACAAAATATATGCTGGCCCTATGATATGAACTGCTCTGAATCATAACAAAGCAAAATTTGGTAAGAAGAAGTAACAAAAAGAATTACATCCAATGTGATCAAAATGATCCCTAGCAGCTATAACCATAAATTATAATAAAAGTGGAAATGACTAATTTAATAGATTACCTGCCCAAGCTATCTGTTCACGTGCCAAGAAGCAACTTCTTTGCCGTAAAATGTTTCCAAATTTTCTTTACTGTAGGGAGAAATCACAGGTACATTCACTCATCAATTCATTACCTCATCAAATTCTGCAAATGAGGATCTACGGGGGGGGGGGGTGGTGTAAATTCACAACTGCAAACAACAATGAAGAACACTTACTTTGTTCTTGGTAAACTTTATTTCAGTTTCAACAAAACAGCCTATGTTACTATGTCACCCAGGGTAAGGGAGAGTAAGACCATCCTTCACAGCAGTAAACCGGCGAACTCCAGATGAGAGCCGTGATCTCGGTAAAAGACCCTAATTGATCCAGAGCACGCTGGCCTCCCAGAGAGATCATGAAAATTAGTGGAAAAGACTGGGAACAGATTTATATGAGGTCACATCAGAAAACCTGAGAAAGTGATAGCTAATGCTTTGGGAAATTCTGTTTCCATGTTAATACTCAGAAGAATAAATTCTTAAAGATCAGAACAGGTAGTTTATACTGTAAGTGTTAAAAAACAATGATATACACTTCCATCTGTTTCTTATTATTAGGACTCAAGATATGATTTAAAATCTAGATGTAAAGCCCAAACACTCAGTCATTGCCCCAAACAGAAAGTTTACATTTCTTTACAGGAAACATAAAAATATGACTATTTGGATCTTGTGTTAATTTACAATTGATAAGTCCAAATTTAATGTTTACCAAAAAAAAAAAAAAAGACACTGTTACACACCTGGAGAAGATCCCAAATAGAATGCTCATTAACAACAGCAACCCAGAAATCTAATTCAGCCTATGGATTTTATTTGTGATCAAGTAACGAACGTTCAGTTTCCTCTGTGAGTCTGCTTTCTGTTAACACGCACAACTTGTCAGATAAGCTCATCGCTGATTTTCAAGCTCTCCTTCCACTGTGCTTCCCCCTGTTAACTAGGATGCACCTAGAAATAACACGACCATTCAAAACAGCTGGAGTGGACATCAGTGGTTTTGCTTTACTCACTAGCTAACTTTACTCTAGTGAAAGTATTAAATTGTCCAAGAGACTTCAATTTCAGAATTACTTATAATAATAAAGTCAGATACAGAAATCTTGATCAATAATCCTCTACTTATATCTTACAATCAGTTAATTCTAAACAAACTATTTACAAATGCAAAATATGCAATATTTAAAATAAATACACAATATATTGTGTGTACATTCTCAGACAGGCTTAAAAATGAGGTAATAAAACTTAACTGATTAAACCTTTTACCATTCTGGAAATGGCTTAGGAACATGATGGTGAAAAAATTTTTTCTTAGGTCTTTTCCCGTTTTCTTTGAAAGCTTCTGAGGACTCCCTTTCCTACGCTGAAAAATCATGTAAAAAATTCTTCAGCTTTGTTGGGTAGTCTGTCATCACCCCGGTCGCTCCCAAGTCAAAAGCCCTTTTGTATTCTTGTTCTTCATTTAACACCCAAATATACACCTGAAAATTAGAAGCGTGAGAAGGACGAGAAGAAATGTTAAGACAGAAAAATTATTTATAGTAACATTTATCCACTACGACCTCAGCACACTTAAGAAATAATCTTTTAAACACGCAGTTTTACGAAACCACCACCATAAATGGGCACTGCCCCAGCCCTCTGCCTGCAGCTACTCTCGCCTGCACATGAATGGACTTTTTCCTGTTCACTGTCAGGCAGAGCTGAAGGTCTCCGGTACGTCAACTGGCAAAGCAGCATCAGCAGAGTGGAGACCAAATTAAGCCAGTTAACAGTCCCTTCCCCTTACACTTGTGTTAAAACGGTAAACTATGCTGTCGTCAAGATGCATCACCCCAGAAATTTACCTGAATGCCGCGGGCAGTGAGGTGGTCAAACAAAGCCTTTCTCATTAGTAATCTAGAAAACAAAAGAAGAACAGATTCAGGTACTTCTTAGCCCTACGAAGGACTAAAATTAGTCCTTAGTCCTAATTTAGTCAATTTAGAGTTTATAATTCCTAGTTAAATTTGATCCCAATGCTTCCTCAATATAAACAATGGCCCCGAATAATAACCGATGCTGTGGATGCATTTATATTTAAGTGCTAGATCTCTTTTCACTGCTGCTGGTTGCTTGCGGGGGAATAACCAGGACCTTCTTTCTGCTCCTTGTGGTCATTAGATCCTCAAGAGACCCATTCTTATTGAAGCAGCTCAATGCAATCTGTGTTCCTAAATTTGCAAGTTAAAGTAGATGGTAAACTTGGGTCAAGTTCTATAACATCATAATTCATTTACAGAATGATTAGTCTTGTGTGAGCTCTCTTAGAAACCTAATGTCTATTAATTACACTATGCTATATATAGCAAAAAAGCATTTCTTTTTTAGCTCCAAAAAAACCAACTTAAAAGTGAACTTTTAGAATATAAATCTCTTGAGCAAGCTGAGAACTAATTCTATTGAAGTTACACATCTCATTTCTAGTCTGTTAATGTTTGTAAGAATGACTAAAGAACAGAAACTAAAAATCATGTGTATTTAATCATGTGAATTAAAAATGTGTCCTTGAAAACTAAAATTAAATCAGGAATAAAACAAAAAACCAGTAAGCTCTGTGGCACAAAGAAAAGATGAAATTAGTTTTTCATCTCTTTGAAAGAGGAGCTAAATTAAAAAGGCTGACAGTAAGGATTATTATTTAAACATTCAAGGTTCCATTTTACAACAAAATATAGCATAATAAACTGTGTGATTTTTATCTAAAAATAAACTCAACACGTCTTAGAAATTATGGCATTTTCTTTAAAGTAGATGCCTGGCCCTCGCTGGTGTGGCTCAGTGGGTTGAGTGCCAGCCTATGAACCAAAGGGTCACTGGTTTGAATCCCAGTCAGGGTACATGCCTGGGTTGCGGGCCAAAGTCCCCAGTAGGGGGCATGCGAGAGGCAACCACACATTGATGTTTCTCTCCTGTCCTTTCTCCTTCCCTTCCCCTCTCTCTAAAAATAAATAAAATCTTTGAAAGGAGGGAGGGAGGGAGGGATACCCACCCTATAGGTAGGGCTTCCTTTTTGTTAAATCTTGGTACAGATTTTTCTGAGAAATGTGCCATTAGTCAATATACATTTTACATATACTGTATCACTATACACACTTCTTTTATAGAGGAAACAAATAAGTAGAAGGGAATGAATGGTTAAACCACATCCCAGACTTGCCGTTAACCAGGCAGATAACCCCAAGGAAATCATTTAACTTTGGGTGGGTCGGTGCTCAGTTTTCTCCTGAAGTTCAGTGAGATGTGCGCCTCCCCCCCTTCCTCAGTAATTAAGCTAGTTCTAAATGATTCACACACATCCATTTGTACAGTGAGTATTCAACACATCCTTGTTACAAATTGCATGTAGAAAGCTCGCACTAAATTGAAGCACAGTGTTTAATAGATACGGCTAAAACAATGACTCATGTGTGTACCAGGAAACTAAAATTCTTACATATCAGAAAGCCAGATGAGAAACTTCTGACTTCTGGATATTGTGTCTGGTTCTTTTAACCTGTGACAAAATAAAGTTTGAATCATAAATTAGAAATAGTGTGATAAAATAAAACAAGTTAAAAAAACAAAAGTTAAACTAAGTGCCTTGCACTTAGTATGTACTTAAAAATATTTGTAGGACGAACATAAATTAAAATAAAGCCCAGCTGGGTTCTCTACTTCTACTGATTTCAGGCTTTTTGCCGCCACTATTCCAAGGTTAGAAAAAAGCCCCCTTTCCAGGGACCCTGAGTGCCCACGGCTCACACCTCTCCTCTTTATTTTTTGGTGAACCCTTGTTCTCTTGCTCTGTCTGCTATACTTTAGTACAGTGCACAGCAGATTTACACACACAACCAAGTGAGACAAAAACCCCTCTAACAGCATGGCATCTTTCTTTCCCTTTCCATATTTGAAGACAGAGGCCCCATACTTTTTGATTACTTTGCTACTGAGAGAGCACATGAGTTTCAGAGCTCCGCTGGGTTTCCTCTCCACTCTCTTTGACGCCTTGAGCGCCCTCCACCTGTGCTACCACCTCTCGGCCGCGCCCAGAGAGAATCTCCCAGCAGCCTCTCTGCCGTGAAGACTTCTCAGCTTCAAGGCTGACCAGCATACAGTGACTCTCAGTCTCCCCAGGTCTTCATTTCTTATTCTCTTTCTACTAAAGCCACCTATCAATATACTCTTAGTATAATCCTGATTATCCACACTTACATTCACTTTTTCCCTCGCTCTGAATTCAGTTTTTATTAGAAGCTCTCTAAATAAATCCCTTTTTTCTCTAATTCTAGCCAAGGCAGAAAGTCCTGGTTGCTATTTCAGGAATCTCAGGGATTTAGTATTTCAAATACTAATTACCTTGTTACACACAAATTATTATGTTGTCTTAGGAAGTACCCATTGTCTTCCATAAAACAAACAAACAAATCTCAAAACATTAAAACATATACACATAAAATTCTACCTGTGTCTTAATCCATAATCTCTTTTTAGAAACAAGATTAATTCTATGAAATTTGTTCTTATATCTGTATTTGAATAATACGTGCTCCTAAAATGAATACACGGAGGTCATCTAAAAGGCACAATAGTCCATTCCAGGGCAGGGGAAAGCTAAGTACTTTAGGAATAAATGGTTAGGAATCATTTTACCCTAGCAAAGGAAAATTATTTCTTTGTAAACAAGAAGTGATTTCTGTTGTTTTGTCTGAGAAATAGCTACAAAGACTGCTAATAAATATAACTGGGAACAGATAAAAGTGTTCATCACTAAGAAACTCAGACTGTTCTGGCTGGTGTGGCTCAGTGGATTAAGTGCCGGACTGCAAAGTAAAGGGTCACCAGTTCGATTCCCAATCAGGGCACATGCCTGGGTTGCAGGCCAGACCCCTGATGGGGGGCACATGAGAAGCAACATGATGTTTCTCTCCCTCTCTTTCTCCCTCCTTTCCCCTCTGTCTAAAAATAAATGAATAGAATCTTAAAAAAAAAAAACCAAAAGATAAAACTCAAACTGGCCAGAAACACAGATGCCGAATACAAGGGTACTGACCAAATTGCTTTGCTTACCAATATTTTCTAATGATTAATGACTAATATTCCAGCTTGATTTTTCTAAAGTTCTGTTCGGGGATGAAAAAAGTTTTCATGCAAGTGAAATCACATTTAAGTGATCTCCCTGGGAACTCTGAGTTCTTTTGTAATGGCTTGGTGGTTATTACCACAAATTTATACTTAGAAATAACATTCTGAGGGTGCAGGATCATGAGATAAAGCTATCTGTCTTTACTAATAATGATAAAGATAACTCAATGAGGAAACACTATCATTTACCGAGTGCTTATTATTTGCCAGGCACTGCTAAGTGTTGCACGTTTTTCCTTCGCAGTAAATCAGTGTGTGGAAAGCAAGGCTGCATGCCCTGTAGAGGGGTCGTGCACACATGGAAGTGTGTTAGGTAAACCGATTCTGTCCTTCTCTGTCTCCCATCTCCAGGGGGCTCTTGGGGTTGTTGTGGTGGTGGCTGTTTTTCTTCCTAAATGTATTAACACTAGTGGTGAATGTGAAGTTTAATTAAAATTCAGCTTTGTGTATCTGTCAATGAACAAGGAAGAGAGGAAGTTGGAGGGCAATTGCTATTGGATGTTAGAGTAAGAGAATTATTAAACTTCAACAATTAAGCTCAATTCTTTTTACCTAATTTCAAGAAGTATTAAAGTCACTGTTACATGAGATGGGTCCAGATTAACTACTTTTAACCCTTTATTATTCATTTAGAGCATGTGTCTTAATTATGTCAAAAAAACACCGCTGCCCCGGCCAAGCGGCTCAGTTGGCAGGAGCACTGTCCCTACACCAGAGGGTTGCGGGTTCGACTCCCAGTAGGGCCACCAGATCTGTTCCTCTCTCGCCCTGATGTTTCTATTTCTCTCTCTCCCCCCTCTCTGCCTTTTTCTCTCTCTAAAGTCAATAAATAAATATCCTCAGGTGAGGATTAAAAAAAATACTGTTAATATAGGTCAGTTAATCAAACATGGAAATCACTACAGCAATCTATTCTTTATCATTAATGCTGATATTAAGGAGCCTTGTCTTAGTCCTCCTGCAACTGACAATTGATGAGAACAGGCAGCCACTTACTTCAGTATGATAGACGGCATTGGGATTTCAAAAAACTGTTCTCGGATGGGCACGAAGGGCAGGAGACCAGTGAAGAACAGGCCGAGAATGAGCAGAACACGCTGTAGACTGAAGAGTATGGGAATGTCGGAATTCTAAAAGACACAGACAGTATTAGGTTACTTTGTAACTGCTCAGATAAAGGGGATTATTTCACAACCTTCAAAACTTCCAAAGACTGTATCTTGACATCTGTTTAAAGCAGTCCCTGAATTATCAGTATCCGAACGCACCACACTTAGCAATGGCACGTCGGCGACGAATGGGTCAGTGTCTGTCTTGGAGCCCCACAGTGTTAACTGACGACATTCAAGTTTCTGTATTCCCTACTCTGTGTTTTATAGTCCCGCTTCTGTCTGCTGGTAACAGTGCTTAACCACTAGGGATTAAGTACACCAAACTGATGGAACAAGACAAAGAAAGGAAGATGTGAAACGGTAACCTTACTCCTGTGGAAAAATATGTAACTGTATCTATACAGAGATATATATTAATACTGTTGTAAATATATCATCTCTCAACTATATTATAAATCAAATATAAATAGGATTTTGTAAACTAGCCCAAGATTCTAACCACGATTTTAAATTTCTATTGGAAAATGTATTTAAGATCCCCAAGCCCTTAGAATGCCAGCTTCCTGTATGTATGAAGCCTTTTCTTCTTATAAATTCAAACTCTATCCCCTTTGAACAACTCCCCAAACACCCCTCTCCCTGGCTCCTCCTATAGTTGTCTCTAAAACAAATAAAAATTATAATAATTTGAATTTTCTGTATAAAAGTAATACACTGAAAAATCATATAAATTATTTAAAATAGTAGCTCTAAATTACCCACCTCTTTATTTTTTTAAAAATAGAGTAAATAAGTTTGAGGATTTCTTTTTCCCCTATGTCTATATGCTGCCTTGTAGTTTTTTCAGCTTATTTATACACAGGTGTGTCAGCTGCAATACAATACACAAGTCTCTGATTTCTGCCAATTCATATCTTAAGAATAACAGGGCTGGTAGGGAAAAGAGGGTGGGGGGCTGGCCCTCAAAACTCATGCAGCTTTGGAGCCAGGGACCTAAAAGCAGTAACTGGTACTTGCGAGGAGTCGTGCACGGCTGCTGGGGGGAGAGGGAGGAGAGGCTGCTGCACATACAGCAAGCTGACCTGCCTTAACGAGGCCTCCGCTGCACTTTCTATGCAATGCTGCTGCTCTTGGATCTATGTTTTCGCCTTGTTGGCTAGGAAGGAAGGCCTTCCAAAAGGAATTCTTCCTATTTCGGAATTGCTACTTCTGGCGTACTTCCTCTGCACTATCACTTGTACTCCAAAGGTCTTCGATCCTTAAGGCTTTTTTTTTTTTTTAACATTTTGAATTTCAAATTCTCTTAGCTGACTATATAGCTAAACTTGCTTATAGAGGCTTAGCATAGCATTTCAATATACATCAAAATGAATTCTTGTAGATACCATTTCTTCAACTGGAAAATAAGTAGCATTGGATGGCCTTACCTCTTATACTACCTGATAATCATGATCCTGGCTTAATTTGATTGATACTATTTGGCTTAATTTGATTGATTCTAGGTGAAGAAAAAGCTTGAGCTACGGCTGTAGGACTAAATACTTTTCCTTAATTAAAAGTTACACACAAAAAAAATCATCCTGGCTGGTGTGGCTCAATGAATTGAGTGCCAGCTTGCAAACCAGAGGGTGACCAGTTCCATTCTCAGGGCACATGCCTGGGTTGTGGGCCAGGTGCCCAGTTGGGGGTGTGTAAGATACAACCACACATTGATGTTTCTCTTCCTCTTTCTCCCTCCTTTCCTCTCTCTAAAGATAAGTAAATAAAATCTTTAAAAAAAATTACACCAAAAATTCAATTACCTTACAAATTACCTCAACAGACATTAAAAGACAGAAATATTTTGTTTTATAATGTACGTAATAAACCATTAGTAAACAACTAATGTCAGCATGTGAAAACAATAATCCTGTAAGCCAGTCCAATTATACTGAACTTTAATTGCAAGGTCCGTTTTCTCTATTAAATCAGTTATCTATGAATCCATCATCTCCATTAGCAAACTTCTGGTTAGCTGCTTTCACCCAGTACCATTGGTTTTCTTATCAAGGCTATGAAATAAGATAATTTTAAATAATTATTACTTAATAACTTACCACTTACAGACATACAATAACAACCAAGATCACTCTGTACCACTTTCTGAAGAATTACCTCTCTGTAGCACTTCTCCACGATCTCGTAACTGGCATTGCCCCACACTGTTAAGTGTTCCCGTCGATACTGCTTCACCAGCTCGGAAACCTGCAAATGAAAACTCAAACTTTTATGCATATGCCTACTTATAAGTCCACTTACATTACTTCATTTTTAAAAACTAGGTTGTAACTATCTGCCAGTGAACAGCACAAAATTTTGGAAGAAGCAATGTATAAAATCAGATTATTGTATAAGACGTAAGAAATTACTTATATTTAACCATTGTATGATTTCTCTAATAGAACACAACAACTTGGTAATCTGACACGTACTGACTGCACATGAAACAAGTTAAACTAGAAGTTAATTACATAAATGCGGCGCTGCTGGTTCTCAGGTCACTTTTACCCACGACTGAGACGTGACAACTCCGAGAACAGGCTTCCCTGCAGCGCAGGGTCTCTCCCACCAGGGTGTTGCTTAGAGCAGCGCCAGCCCCGGGAGCATCGCCACACTTCCGTGAACACGATAGATCTGTGCGGCCGCTTTATTAGTTTGCGGAATCGGATGCAACACACTCAGAGGAGGCAACGCCGGAGGTACCTTCTTAATCAGCACGTTGTTGTTGACTTTGATGTCGATGTTGATGGGAGTGTTGGGGAAGGCCTCGAACACTTCCTTCAGTAACGGGATGCGGTTGTCTTTTCCTTCGCACTGGCATGCTGAGAAAGCAAGGCTTTAAATGTAGTTTTAAAAGATAACTTACTTTTTCTGATGATTAGAAGAGATAGAGTAGTAGTCCCAATAGGACATTTACAAAATGATGAAAAGTATAAAGAAATAATCTGAAACACAATTTAGATATAACCACTGTGACCACCTCTACTCTTTTTTTTCCTGTGCATAATTTAATAGTTACAGTGTAGCTACAGCTTTTAACCGGACCATCAGGAAAAGATAAATATTGCATGTTAATACACTGTATTTGTAATTATGACTTGGAAGTTTTTCATTCAATGCTTTGCGATAACTGTGGATTCACATGCAGTTGTAAGAGAGGTACACAGTCCTGTGCACCCTTTACCCAGATTCCCCGATGATATAATATCGTGACCATGATACCGACATTGATAGAATCCACCAATCTTATTCTATAACTATTATTTTAAAGGTTTTTAAAATATCCCATTGAGCCCTGGCCAGGTAGCTCAGTTGGTCAGAGTGTCGTCCCCACACTCCGAGGTTGTGGGTTTGGTCTTCGGACAGGGCACATGCCAGAATCAACCAGTGAACACACACACAGGTGGAACAACAAATCCGTGTTTCTCTCTGTCTGACTCTTTATTCCTTTCTCTCTCTAAAATCAATAAAAATGAATAAATAAAATCCTCCATTGAGTAGCTATACCTCAGTTTAATTATTTTAGTTTAACCACTCCCCTTAAAATGTATCAGTGTTTGCCACTCCAAAATATGCTGCTTTGGTATAAGGATTATTTCGAACTGAAGGCAATTGAGAAAAGCAGATACGGATAAAATAGGCTCTCTGCCCTTCCCCTGTTTGCCTTAAAACAAGACTTAAATTTGTACAAACATCAATCACCAACGACCCTAGAGACGTATCAGCACCAGAGGACTCTATAAAACAAGCCACTGACTAGCCTTCATCCTCAGTTACTCCCCCATGTATTTACCTTCCCACAATTTGCCCCCTAGAAACTCGAAGTCTTCCCTTTGTCTTGTTACTGCTCTGAAAATTTACTGGGTTTTATTTTTTTTTAAGATGCTATATAAACTCAGGTTGCAGCCATCTCTGAGTTTCTCCCATAAGACGTACATAGTAATAAACTTCCGCTTCTCTTTCTCTCATTAATCTCTCTTTTGATACAGAGTCCCAGCTGAGAGTCTAGAGGGTAGAAAGAAAAATACTTTTTTTTCTTTCTCTATACCCTACCAGTGCATATTGAGATGGTTTCCAAAGTTCTGCTCTGATATCATCATTGAATTGTTCAGAGCTTGAGAATAGTATGTTCGGGCAAGAAAAAAACATGCTAGTTCAGTAACGTGTTGAAGAATGACACCAACGCAGCTCAACTCAAAGAAAACTCAACTCGATGAAAAGATTAGGATTTTTAAACACTCTTTATATATTCTTAGAATTATTTTCTTTATTCTTTCCCTACTCCCTTTTGCCTGTAATCATTTACATAATATACTCTCCACAGTATATAACTACTATAAAAATTTCTCCTTCCATCTGAAACTGCAGTTCTACTAATCTATGAATAACAGTGAAAGATCCTTTATTTCATCCTTATTGAACAGCAAATCAAAACAAAGGAGTGTATCAAAAAAGTAAATCTATGTCAGGACATTAATTATAATAAAGGCTTATATGACTAAGACAAAAAAAAGGAAAAATTTGTTACTATTTTGTCTGTTCTGTGTCCTATTCCTATTGCCTTTTTCTTATTCCTTGCAAGTCAGATGGGGCTCTGGGTCATTCTGATGGGGCTGTCAATCATTTGGCTCTGTATCCATGGCCACAGAGAGTACAGCACCCTGTACCATAACAACATGGACACTAGGGAGGGTCTCCTGAAGTCCTCAGCTGGATGGATCATGTACTTTTGACGCTGTCAGAAGTCCACTTTACATGGAGGAGGTGTGCCCAAAGACAAAGCTAACAAATGAAAGCAGAACAAAGAAATGAAGATAGAGACCTATTATTGTTTCAGCAACTGGAATCAGTCATGTCTGAAGGCATATAACCTCTAGACTTCTCACTTATGAAAAGCAATAAATTCTTTAAAGAAATTTTTTTCTTGAGCTATCTTGAAATGAATTTCTAGTACTAATTAACTGAAGATTTTAAACTTATCATGGACTACAAAATTAATTAATACACTGGGCTGTCAAAAACAGGGCCATTCACTCTCAAAGGCAGGGACATGACCTAGGTCTGGCCAATCATAATAGCTTAGCTCTTTATCCACAGTGAGTATTTCAAGGTGGACACATGGCCCACTCTGGACCCACTGGTTTCTTTCTCTAAAACTTTCCCCTTGAAGCTCAGAGGGCAGATCTTTTTCCCCTGGGGTCACAGTGCAGGCAGGATGTGAATTTACAGTTGTACCATATTCCCTGCCACACGGACAAAATCCATCCACAGCAGAAAAGCGTAAGACCCCAGAGAAGCAGAACCATGAAATGAAGCAAAAAGGGTCCTTTTGGTGCCCCTGGATCCAGGAATGTTTAATGTCAGAGCCACCATCATCCTAGATAGTTGGTAATAATATAAGTGTCGTGTTTTCCCCTCAAGCCGGTATAAACTGGTTTCTGTCACTTACTACCTAAAAAGTCTGAACCTGATGTTCTGGTTCTGTACATTCAGTATGGCAGTCACTAGCTGCATAGGGTTATTTAAATTAAAATTAAATAATATTAAAAATTCAGGTGCTCAGATGCACTAGGCACATTTCCAGCGCTCATTAGTCATCTGTGGCTACTGGCTGTTGTGCTGAACAGTACAAAAAACACTGATATCACTAAGAAAAATTCTCTTTAGACAGTACTGTTCTAGTCAAAAATAATTTTGTTAGCTTGTTAAGTGTGGACAAATTACTTCGGCAATCAAAAGAATTGCCACGGGCAATAGATATTCACACACTAGTAAGATATACGTGAGAATCAACTCAGAAAAAGGCCAACAAACAAAAGTTATGGAACAACAAAGTGACCTATTACACCAAAATGATTATCGCATCAAACTGTGGGGGAACAAGGAAATTAAAGTGTGCCAAGAAAAAAAAGTGTGCTAAAATGAAGATAACTAAATTAGATGTCTCAGCTTGCATAGAATGTTTAAAAAAAAAAAGAACTGGAGAAAGAAGTTTGTCCCCAGTATTGTTCTGGGCAGAGGATAACCAGGTGGAAAATAAAAGGAAAAATAACAAACAAGAATGCTAGAAACTAATATCATACTGAATGTCCAATATAACTGAAAAAAAAAATTTAATATTAAAAAAAAGAATGCTAAGCAAGTCCGCCAGAGGGTGTGTTGAGCGAAGTGGCCTCCATAGCATGCTGACAGTTTCAAACTGCTCATTAGAGTCGACTTCAGACTATCCAGAGTATTCTTTTCCACGAAAAAGGACTACTTTCAAGTAAGTAGGATAAATAAGAAACTCTTTGGTTAACACATTTTGATGTTCTTTCTTTTTCCTGTAACCTGCAGCACACGAAAGCACCCATAAACGAAAACACGATCCTTCTCCAGTGAAGATGTGAACCACAAAGAGGCCCAAAGTGTGTGTTCCTCTGAGAGTCGGTAGTTTCTCTCTCATCAGTATTTAAAATAAGCAAGAGTTCTGAGCAGAGAAATGGGATAGAAAAAAAACTGAACAGCCCTGGCTGGTGTAGCTCAGTGGATTGAGTACGGGGCCTGTGAAGCAAAGGGTCACCGGTTTGATACCCAGTCAGGGCACATACCTGGGTTGCAGGCTAGGTCCCCAGTAGGGGACACATGAGAGGCAACCACACATTGATATTTCTCTCCCACTCTTTCTCCTTCCCTTCCCCTCTTTCTAAAAACAAATAAATAAAATATTTTTTTAAAGAAAAAAACCGAACGGCTTTTTGCCTAATCTGAGTCAAGTTTATATAGTACTATGTATTAGTCTGTTTCAAATACTGCAAATCTGTACGTTAATTTGTTGAATGCAATATGAACTAAACTTAATTATTTTTTACAGTTGTCTGAAATTTGAGAGTACATGGCATTGCTATTAAGGCATTTGAAGAGGATCCATGTGGAGAGGCAATAAGGTGAGGCTGAATACTGGGCTGGTAAGGAGGAGACCGAGGTTCAAGGCCTGCCTCTGGTATTTACCGGCTGCATGACCTTACTTTGCATCTCTAGGCCTGTATCCTCATCTGTAACAGGAAGAGACCTTTGAGATGGTCTCTTGAGACCATCTCAAAGGTCTCTTCACATTCAAAAGTATTATGACTTTCTGAGGGAGGCAGAAAAAAAACGAAACATTTTTTTCTGAAAAGATCTTTTAATCTTCATGGGGCTTTGCTCTACAAAGGGAAAAACAGAAAAAAACTTCACTTATCCAATTTTCTTAACCTTCACAAGTTGACAGTTGACACAAAGATCAGAAAAGCTTGGCCAGTGTACTACTATTAATTACAAGAATGGGAACAGCGTTTCCTTGAACCAACACAGCTTCACGATGCTTACTTGGAAGGCAGAAATCAACAAACATCAGATCCAAATATCACTTAGAGGGAGTGAATTTAAACAATTTTCTTATTTTTATTTGCCTTTCTAAAATTTTCCAAAGGGAAATTTTACTGGCCAATTTTAAATCTAATGCAGGTATTTCAGAAAATTAGTATCAACAGATCCTTGACATTTAATCCAAGTTTTAACTATATGCGAGCCGCACCATGGACCGTACCATGAAACATCTTGTCGCTTTACCAGGTTACTTACTACATTGGAATCATTCAGAACGCGGGGCTGAACCGTGACAGTGAGGGAGCCCGCGCCTGCTCAGCAGCCTGTGTCCCCAGGCCGTGTACCTTCCACTCCAACACATTCCATCCCAACGTGACCGGCAAACTGGGGCCAAGGGACATGTTTCTTTGTAAGGCATTTTCCCTCAAAAGAAAGGAAAATGCTGTGCTGGTGATTAAAAAGTGAAAATCGCCCTGGCTGGTGTAGCTCAGTGGATTGAGTGCCGGTCTGCGAACCAGAGGATCATGGTTCGGTTCCCAGTCAGGGCACATGCCTGGGTTGCAGGCCAGTTCCCAGCAGGGGATGCACTAGAGGCAACCATACACTGATGTTTCTCTCCCTCTCTCCTTCCCCTCTAAACATAAATAAATAATAAATGTTTTTTAAAAAAAGTGAAAATGACTAGGAAATGGATGGTTTATTTGAATAATACAATGCTTTTTAAAATTTAAAATATGGAATACCTAAGTGACACAGACTCGAATGTGAGACTATCAGGAAGGATCTGAAAGGGGTCCCTTCAATTTCTTTTCATTTACTCATTTATTTAATTTATGATTACTGTAAGTTACAGTAACATTCCAGAATTAGAAGCTTTAGAGGTATAAAGTATCCCTAACAATATCTGGGATTCTTGTCATTAGTATTTAGGTTTAAATTAACTGTACATAAATTTAACAGAATGGACCAATTAAATCTCTGGACTTCGCCATTTCAGGGTCAAGATTTCAGACTGGCAGGCCTGAGAGAATAACTCTGGAGGGCAGTACTTTTAGCTGGAACCCACTGTGTGAGAGAACATGCCTCTATATGTAATTCTCAACATAAATGAATACAGTTTAATATAAATGTTTAAGCTGTGAATGGGAAACATTACCTCTTTGAAATGTGACGTCCAGTTTGCCAAGGTAAGTTGGGAGTTCCTTTAAAAGATATGATTGAAGAAAGTTAGCTCTCAAAAAATCAAAAGTATTTGAATGTTAAGAAATAAAGATTTGTTTCTTCAAAGAAACAAACACTACATATGTTTATATAGGGCACCCTTTAGCAGAACATTCCCAACAGTAAATTAATCATATAATTACTTAGTTTCACAGCCTACAAGAAATCTTTGTTTTTAACAAAGATTCAATAACAGAATGGACCTGTTATCAAAATAAATATACCAAGGTCTCAGTAGATAAATGTTAAGAATAGATAGTTCAAAGGAAAAAAATGACTTAAGATTATATAGAAGTACCTATAAATGCATATAAATAAATGCTAACTAAAATTTAATCTAGCAAATTAGGAAATGTTTGGTATAATTATAATGCCCAAATAATAGTAAGAGTACAGCAAAATGACAATTCTTCTAGTACCAGATTCTAGAACTCTTTTAAGTACTTTTTAAAAGCAAGCTGTCAACAGCAACTTTCAATATATATTATTCTTAGTCTTTTCAAGATAATATTCCTAATCTTTTACCCAACAGTTTCTTTGCTGGAAGTTTATTTAGGGAAATAATTTTAAATACAGAGATTATCTTTATAAATATTTAATAAATATAAACAGATGTCATAAAGATATATTTATATCCCTTAAATAAAGTTATAGAAGCATATAAGCATAGAGAAAACTTTATCTTTATGCATAAAGTTGTTCAATGCAGTGTTGACTATAATGGTGAAAACTTAGAATTAACCCAAAAGTCCAACAATAAAGGAATGGTTAAAAATAACTATATATTCACTCAATGGATAACTGCAGTCATTCAAAATGTTTATGAAAAACAAGCATGGAATCTGAAGAGCCTCAGTACTGTACAATTCTAACTCTATGACATTCTGGGAAAGGCAGTAACTCCAGAGACAGTAAAAAGATCAGTGGTTGTCAGGGATTCATGGGGGTGCAGGAAGGTTGGGGCAATGATATTCTATACGACACTACTGTTAAAACCTACGACATGTACACACCAAGAGTGAGCCCTGATGTAAACTATGGACTTTGGATGATGCTGATGTGTCAACGTAGGTTAATCAGCTGTAACAGACGTACCCCCTGGTGCAGGATGTTGACAGTGGGGGTGCAGGGAGGCTGTGCCTATATCAGGTCAGACGTTACGTGAGAATTCTCTCTACTTATTCAATTTTGCTCTAAACCTGTAACTACTCTAAAAACTCAAATCTATTAAAAAGAAATAGCTGTATCATGCCAAAATGTTTAAAAATACTATATATATAATACACAGCAGGATGACAACTATATAAACAACATACAAGGTATACATACACGTTATCGTAAGTTTTAAGTGGCAAAATTGAGCATTTTTCCTTCAGTTTATCAGTATTTACTATAATGAGCACGTAACCACTAAAGTAAGATTGTTAAAGGATTCTTCCCCATACTTTAAAACTAAAACTAATTTATATAGTTAATCTGAATCCAATACATTACAGAATACTTTAGGCAAGTTGAACTCTACTAGTTTTACTAGACTTCAGTAATTTTAGGACTTTGGTAATTTTGTTAAAATACTTATAAAATTAGCCCTGGCTGACATAGCTCAGCGGGTTGAGTGCGGGCCTGCGAACCACATGATCGCGGTTCGATTCCCAGTCAGGGCACATGCCTGGATTGCAGGCCAGTTCCCAGCAGGGGACTCATGAGAGGCAACCACACATTGATGTTTCTCTCTTTCTCTCCTTCCCTTCATCTCTAAAGATAAATAAATAAAATCTTTAAAAAAATACTTATAAAATTAGCCCTGGCTGGTGTGGCTAAGTGGATTGCACACCGGCCTGCAAAACAAAAGGTTGCTGGTTCAATTCCCAGTCAGGGCACATGCCTGGGTTGCGGGTCAGGTCCCCATTTGGGGGCATGCGAGAGGCAACCAATTGATCTATGAGTCTCTTGCACACTGATGTTTCTCTCTTTCTCCCTCCCTTCCCCTCTCTCTAAAAATAAATAAATCTTTTTTTTAAAAAAAGAAAAAATATTTGTAAAACTAAGTTTCCACATACGTACATAGTGAGTACATCTTCACTGAAAGTCGGAATAGTACCCTAAAATTTCCTTTGACATTCATTATTTAATCACTATCATTTTGAAAAAATTATTTATTGAAGCACTCTCTGATATTCACTGTTTTCAAAATCTTACAGGCCCTCGTCTCTCCGAGGTATTGGTTTATCATGAGTCTTATACGTACACAGTACTTGAGATCGGAGATGTTCACATTGACCCCTGTTGATCTCTTCAGATTCTCATCGTGAGACACAACAACCTGCTCATCTTTTGTGATGTGGCAGTCCAACTCCAGCATATCTGTCCCGATGGTAACCGCACTGAAGAAATACAAAGAATAATGACATTCTTAAACACTGAGGTTACATGTATCAGATGTAAAACTCAGAATTATAAATCAAACATCAAAAAAATCCCATAATGCTAAAATTTCTAAACACTGTCATCTATTATGATTTACTAAGTGAAAATATTTTAAGTGAACTTAGAATAAGGACTCATGTGGCCTCCTTTCTATAACCAGCTACCCTATTTCTATAATGGAAAGAACGCTGGATCAGAAGTTAAGAGATTTGGGAGTCAGTTCCTGCTTTGCTACTAACTTGCTTGTGTAACATTGGGCAAGTAAATGCCCCCTCTGGGCCTGCATTTCTATTAAATGACAGGAGTGAAAAACAAGAAAAGGATGCCAGCTTTTGCCACTTTAGCTCAGTATAGTATTGGGAATTGTAGCTCTTTCTGACACCTTTCTGTGCCACCATAATGGTGTGCATGAATGTCCTGACAGATGCTCTCAAGAGTATCAACAATGTTGAAAAGAGAGGCAAACGCCAGGTTCTTATCAGGCCGTGCGCCAAAGTCATCGTCTGGTTTCTGTGGTAATGAAGCATGGTTCCATTGGTGAATCTGAAACTACTGACCACAGGGCTGGAAAAACTGCTGGGAACTGTACAGGCAGATTGAACAAGTGTAGAGTGATCAGCCCCAGATTTGATGTGCAGCTCCAAAATCTAGGAAAACGGCAGAACAACGTGCTTCTGTCCTGTCAGTTTGGTTTCACTGTACTGACAACCTCAGCAGGCACCAAGGACCATGAAGAATCAAGACAAAAACACACAGGAGGGATTCTTTTTCTAGACATATAATACATATGTGCAAATAAGATGCCTCAGAGGACAAAAAAAAAAAAAAAAAGGAAAAGAAAAGAAAAAAAAGAAATTCAACCCAGCTTTGGCTGGTGTGGCTCAGTGGACTGAGTGCCGGCCTGCAAACTGAAAAGTCGCCAGTTTGATTCCCAGTCGGGGCACATGCCTGGGTTGTGGGCCAGGCCCCCAGTTGGGAGCATGTGAGAGGCATCAGATTAATGTTTCTCTCTTTCTCCCTCCCTTCCTTTCTCTTTAAAAATACAATAAAACAAAAAATTCTAGCCAGAGCAATTAAACAAGGAGGGAAAAAAAGGGGGAGTCCATATTAGAAAGGGTATCATACGACAATTCCATTTATGATAGCATCAAAAGAAGAATAAAACCTAGAAATTAACAAGGAGGTAAACGACTGTACAATGTGAACTATAGAACGTTGCTGAAAAAATTAAAAAATGAGATACATGATGGAAAAACATCCCATGTTCACAAATTGGAGCACTTAACATTGTTACATGTAAATGTTACACTGATCTACAGTTCAGTGCAATTCCTCTCAAAATCCCAACGATGTTTTTGAAAAAATAGAAAAATCCAACCTAAAATTTATATGGCAACTCAAGAAACCCCAGTCAAAACAATCTTGAACAAAATAAAAAAAGAACAAAGGTAGAAGACTCACACTTTGTGATTCCAAAACTTACTACAAAGCTACAGTGTAGCGTAAGCCCTGACTTTTTTTTCTTGTAATGCAAGTGACTGACTTAAGCTTTGATTGACAAGGCATCCACTTCAAAAACATGTTCTTGCAAAAACATTATGTTATTATGCAAAAACATAATGTAAAAGCATTATGTCTAAAAAACAATGTACGTGCCTTAATTTAAAAAGTCTTTTAAAAATGCTAACCATCATCTGAATCTTCAGTGAATCACAGTCTTTTTGGTGGTGGAGGGTCTTCTTCAATGTCGATGGCTGCTGACTGACCAGACGGTGGCTGCAGAAGGTTAGGGGGAGTGCAGCAATTTCTTACAGTAAGACATCAGTGAAGTGTGCCACACTGGTGACTCTTCCTTTCACAAATGATTTCTCTGTAGCATGTGATGCTGTTGGATAGCATTTGATCCACTGCAGAAAGTCTTTCAAAATTGGAATCAATCCTCTCAAACCCTGCTATTACTAAGTTCATGTAATACTCTAAATTTTGTTGTCCTTTCAACTACCTTGACAGCATCTTCACCAGGAGTAGGTTCTTCCTACATTAGATTGTATGCATATCAGAGCACTATTGCAAGGAATACTTAAAAACATTCAGATGAAAATATTTAACCATAATCCCACAATGACAACACTATTTTAATTATTTTCCATTTTTTCACTTTAAACCTTATTAGATTCCATCTCAAGAAACCACCTTATTTGCTCATCCATTAGAAGCAACTCGTCACACATTAATGTTTTATCATGAGATTGCAGCAATGCAGCCATGTTTTCAGGCTCCACGCCCCATTCTAGTTCCTTTGCTATTTCCACCACATTTGGAGTTACTTCCCCCACTGAAGTCTTGAACCTCTCAAAGTCATCCACAATGAAATGAACCAACTCCTCCAAACTCTTATTAATGTTGATATTTTGACCTCTTCCCATGTGTCACAAGTGTTAACATCTAGAATGGTGAATCTTTTCTAGAAGGTTTGCCCAGATCCATCAGCAGAATCATTACCTAAGGCAGCTATAACCTTACAAAATATTTGTTAAATAACAAGACTTGATGGTTGAAATTACTCCTTAATCCACGAGCTGCAGAACGGATGTCGTGCTAGCAGGCATGAAAACATTAGTCTCATCGTACATCTCCATCAGAGCTCTTGGGTGACCAGGTACATTATCAGGATGAGCAATAAATTTTGAAAGGAATCTATCTTTTTCTGAGCAGTAAGTCTCAAGAGTGGATGTAAACTATTCAGTAAACCATGTCATAAGCAGATATACTGTCATCCAGGATCTATAGTTCCATTGTTACAGCACATGCAGAGTTGATTTAGCATAATTCTTTAGAGCCCTAGGATTTTCAAAATGGTAAATGAGCACAGGCCTCTACTTGAAGTCACCAGCTGCATTAGCCCCTAAAAAGAGAGGCAGCCTGTCCTTTGATGCTTTGAAGCCAGGCATTGACTTCTCTCTATGAAAGTCCTAGGTAGCCTCTTCTTCCAATAGAGGGCTTCATCTACATCGCTAATCTGCTTAGTATAGCCACCTTCATTAATGATCACTGTGAGATTTCAGTTAAATATTTTCATCTGAACGTTTTTAAATATTCCTTACAATAGTGCTCTGATATGCATACCTAGATCTTCTGGATAACTTGCTGCAGCTTCTACATCAGCAATGCTGCTTTGTCTTGCACTTTTATGTTATAGAAACAGCTTATTTTCTCAAACCTCAGAAACCAACCTCTGCTAGCTTCAAACTTTTCTTCTGCAGCTTCCTCACTTCTCTCAGCCTTAAATGCAGAGCTGGGCCTTGCTCTGGGTTAGGCTTTGGCTCAAGGGAATGTTGTGGCTGGTTTGATCTTCTATCTAGACCACTAAAACTTTCTCCGTATCACTAATCAGGTTGTTTTGCTTTCTTATCATTCATGTGTTCTTTGGAGTAGCACTTTCAATTTCCTTCAAGAATATTTCCTTTGCTTTTACAACTTGGCTAATTGTTTAGAGCAAGAGGACTAGCTTTCAGCCTGTCTCCACTCTCAGCATGCCTTCCTTACTAAGCTTAATTCTCCTAGCTTTTGATTTAAAGTGAGAGGAATGCAACTCTTCCCTTTACTTGAACATGTAGAGGCTACTGTAAGGCTACTGATTGGCCCAATTTCAATACTGTTGTGTGTCTGGGAATAAGGAGGCCTGAAAAGGGAGCGAGATGGGGACACTCGTGGAGCAGTCGGAACACACACAGCATTTATTAAGTGCACTGTCTCACATGAGTGTGGTTCATGGCACCCTAAAAACAACTGCAATAGTTAAAACCGAAGGTCACTGATCAGAGGTCATCTTAAGAATTGTAACAGTAATTAAAAAGTTTGAAATAGTGCAAGAATTACAAAAATGTGATCTAGAAACACAAAATGTTGGAAAAATGGAGCCAACTGGCTTGCTCAATGCAAGGTTGCCACAAAGCTTCAATTTGTAAAAAAACAAAACAAAACAAGATGCAATATCTTTGAAGCACAAGAAAGCGAAACATGCCCTGGCTGGTGTAGCTCAATAGATAGCTCACATGATCATGGTTCGATTCCCATTCAGGGCACATGCCTGGGTTGCAGACCAGTTCCCAGCAGGGGACACACAACAGGCAACCACACATTGATATTTCTCTCCTTCCCTTCCCCTCTAAAGATAAATAAAATCTTAAAAAAAAGAAAGAAAGTGAAACACAATGAGGTACACCTACATAAACTTTTATAATGGAAAAATAAGAGCACTTACATTGTGAATACATTTTATTAAAAAAATGAATTACGGAATGAATTACAGCAGGAATATGACCTAAGAAAAACTTAACATCCTTTTAAATACATAAGCACTCATGATTCCTATTTTGACTGTGAATCTCCCAAATGGGGTGAATGTGTCTTCTGGTATATAGTGCTTAAACCTAAAACACATAATATTGAAATATTATATAACAATTAAAGAATCAAGTTTTAACAATTAAGTAAGTTTCTTCATGTTTCTCAAAAAATTGGTAATTCACTGATTAAAAAAGAAAGAATGAAACTGTTAGAAATGCAAGCATCCACCCTGGCTGGTGTGGCTCAGTGGGTTGAGTGTCGGGCTGTGAACTGAAAGGTCGCTGGTTTGATTCCTAGTCAGGGCACATGCCTGAGTTGTGGGCCAGGTCACAAGGGAACATGAGAGAGGCAACTGATTGATGTTTCTCTCCCTCTCTTTCTCCCTCCCTTCCCTCTCTCTAAAATAAACAAAATCCTTAAAAAAAGAGAGAGAGAGAGAAATGCAAGCATCCAATCATTAGTTAGACTGGGTGACTTTTAAGATCCTTGGCCATTCCAGATCTAACGATTTAAAAATCTTCCCGGTTTTTCTTACTTCACCTGCTTCTAATGATCCACCCCCCCCCCACCAGCATCTCATTTCAAAAGACCCAATGGCTACTTGCTGCCTTGTGCCAAAGTCTCAAACTGCTCCCTTATTCCTCTTTAAGTGACCCTCCCCATCCGTGTCCTGATCCCCAGTTTTTAAAGGAAACAAACCAATCAGCCTGGTTCCTTAATGTAATTCTTACTAAGATGTAAATAATTAAGTTGTTAGCTTTAAGTAACCTCTTCTAAAGGGTATCCACCTTTAAAAGAAAATGTTTGCCAACGTGTCTTTGTCAGAGCCAGAAATGTGTAAAAATGAAATCCAAAGAGGAATAGGCAAACAAAAACAGTTTTTAGGTTGGTGAGATCCTTTTTCTGTATTTTTTAATTTCCTTAAATATTACTGTTACACTGTTTATTTTTTTAAAGGATAAAATCTGTAGAAACCATAAGTAACATATATAGCTAACGAACAGTTTTGAAATAAATTCTGTCCTTTATAAAAGGTAAAAAATGGTACTACTGATTTTTGGTCATGAGCATGCCTTACTTTCTTTTTCTTTTCTTTTCTTTCTTTTTTTGTATGAGTGTGTGAAGGGAGGGGAAGAGCAGGGGTTATCTGTATTTTCCGGTATTTAAAAAAAATTAGGCAGGGAGGTTAGAGGGTGAAGGGATTGAGCAAAAAAGAAAAAGGACTCACGGACAATGACAACAGTGGGGTGGTTGCTGGGGGGAGGGGATTTAAGGGGACTAAATGGTAATGGAAAAAATGTAAGATTATATATTTAAAAAATAAAAATAGAAACTACATGAAGAAATAATTTAAAAAACTATACTTACCTATTACCTAGGAAATTTTTCTAAGTATAAAGTTTGCCTTTAGCTGAAATGCTATTTTTTTCAATGTTTGAGAGTTACATGAAAAACATTATTTATTGCATGCTTACCTCTTATGAATAAGCTAATAAATAAAAATTTAGAGCAATAGTAAGTGCATCTAGGATAATTTATAACTTATCCTAATAAAATTATCCCTAATTTGACACATAAATAGCTAGAACATAGCAAGAAAAGAACTGATCCCTTTTGCCTTCAAATTGTTCCATAAATAACAACATGCAATACTTCAACTGAAACACCAGATATTCTGTAGCTACATTCCTGACAAGCTGATGACAAACCCTGAAAAGAAGTTAGGGAGCCAGGACTCAACATTTCCAGATAAAGAAATTAAAACTCTAGCTTTAAAAGAAGTGAAATTATTTGAAACTCCACAGAATGCATACAATGTATAACAGAAATTAACAGCAAGGAATTTATTTGAATTTCATTTCCTGCTCACAACATTGAGGTTGTATCATTCCCATTTCATTGATACAATCATGACTACTATATTAATTAGACAGTCTAAAAACTTTATCATGAGAATCAGGTTGCTGATTAATTACTTTGACTGTCTGCCAACTTTTACTTCTAGCTACTGCTAATAGCTAGAGGCTTTTTTTTCCTCTCACCATTCAAATTAATACCACAGGGATCGAATTGTCCTACGGGTATTTACAAAGGCAGCCTGGTTTGATAACCTAGTTTTATTAGCTCTTAAGAACCAGATTTTACATACTCAAGGGCTTAGAGACTCTGTGTGTGTATGTGTGTGTGGGTAGTATAATTCCTTTGATTTTGGCTCTGTTTATTATGAACGGGGTTCTATCTCCTCCATCAGTCTTCTGCTAATATTCTGCTTTGTTCTGAGTGCCCTGTTCTGCATATCTCATTAGTGAGCAACTCGTAAGAGCCTGTTAGCACCACAGCTAGATGTCAGGGATTGAGAGATCAATAAGGAAAGAGTCTTGTTTCCAAAACAAGACTGAAGAGCCATATACAGAGTTTCCTATAAATTGTGAGACACAATTATTTCTTCATCAGTCCTAGTGACTTCTCTAGCTCCACTACAATAAATTAATTTTCCATATATTCTTAAAGTCCTTTCAATTTCCCAGACACACCTGGTCCACATATCCTCACATCTTAATCTCAAACATTTCACATTTTTCCTCTTTACCACATTATAGCTCATCTACGCCTGGTATCTTTTCAATTTTATGGTTACTTTTAACCAGGTTTCCCACACCGACTGCTTATACTTTCTCCTGGATCTTCTCATCTTCCTCTCCATGTCATCACACATGTGCTTTGCCAACTGTGCATCTAAATATGTGTGGAAATCACACATGTGAAATTATACACATGTTCAGCTATAGCTAGCTCGCTAGATATATAAGCTCAGTAGAGAAAATAAAAGTAATTTAAATTATTCTGTTTCACTGTCTGTGATAGGAGGAATGAGACTGCATTTTAAAGCTCTAAGAGAATTTTGAGATTACAGTAAAAAGGCATCATATTATAAAAGAGGAAACGCAAGCAATGACAAATCCAGGGAGGCAGGACTTAGATGAAACTAAAATATGGAAAAGCGGCACTTTTCAGCCTCGTAACAGGAAAAAAATAATCTCTAAGTTGTCTTTGAATGATGAGAAGCAGAACAAAAACATAAACCAAATTCTCCTGATGCCTTAGCTGTCTTTATAGACATAAGAATAGCTTAAGAATTATATAAGAGAATCAATATGGATAGGTAATATCTTTCATGGGGTTTAACTTTTCACATTCCCTGTTTTAGGCCAGATTACGGGCTCAGGTCTGTACAAGAATTACTAAGTAGACACATAATCCTATTCGTAAATAGCAGCTGGTATAACAGTTGTTTCATTTTCTCCTTTTCTCTTTCTCTCCAAGACTAATTAGCATCACACACAGTATGTTCCTTGTTACAAATGTCTTCTTTCGACTTTGGAACTATAGCATTTTTTGATTACCCGAAACTCTGGTCTAGTTTTTTCCCATCATGGGGAAGCCAAACACTATTTGTAACACTTCAGACTGACTACATAAAAATGCAATTTTAATAAAATAGAAACAACCATCACCGGTGGATGCTACATGTATTCTATCTTCACTTTGTGAGCCATCATCACTTTAAAGACAAATTGTAAAAGAAAAGAATAGTCTTATACACTTACTGCTGGAAGGCTGCCATTGTATTCTCCAAATTCTCTCCAGCACCTGTAAAAACATTAAATGTAAACTTCATGTACTTAGATGCTTAGATTTCAATTTTTTCATAAATTCATTTTAAGCTATATCTCATGAATATTGATATTTAGATATTATTTAGACATTACAAGTATTTTAAAGAGCATAGTGGTACTTCGATTTTTTTTTTGAGCTACACCAGGAAGAATCAAAGATCAAAACACAGCCACAACATCACAGGGTTAGAAGAACCTAAACATAATTGTTAAACTATAATATCCACTCGTCACAGGAAAGACAGAAGAGGACTTGGTACCTCCTCACACAGAGTCAACATCTCTCCTCTGTGTCTCCTTAGTCTCTTATGTGTCTCTCTACTAAGGCATTTATCATATTATAGCATAAATTATTTACTTCCTCTCTCCTTCTTTTGCCACGAATTACTTAAAAATTTTAAGAGACTGTGTTCTAATGACCTCGGCTGAAGGCAGGGTGGCACAGAGTTGAGAGTGGGGCAGTCAGGATCTCTGCTCTGAAAGCTATTTGATGTTTTTGTGCCGCCCGGAGGGGTTACCTAATCTCTCGGTTAGGCTGAGCCTCCTTATCTATGTATAAAAATGAGGGTAACGATGGTGCCCATCTCACTGGACTGGCAGAATTAAATGAATTAACATCTTAAGTGCCACGCCATCCATTCAAAAAGTATTAGCTTTTTACTTTTCAACAATTGTGAAGTTAGGGTGCATTTCACAATGGATGGTAACAGTTTCATTGGCAACTTTTAGCAGTACATAAAAATTTGTGATCTTACAGCTAATGGCATTAGATATTCAACTTAATAGTGAATATTCAGTAAAAGCAAAGAATTATTATTATTAACACCATTATTATAGTAACTGGTGTTTGGTGAACATCTGTTGCTGAAGTCATGAATAATACTGTAATGACAAAAAGGACACAGATAAAAAGTAACTAATTAATATTATCCAGTATTATACACTACATACAATCTACTAGCATAACATGCTGGCCATAAGTTTTAAAATATTTTTAAACTAAAAGACTTCGGTATTACTAAATAATTAATGAAAAGCACAGGGAAGATACTTTGGAAATATGTTTCCAAATGCTTTGAAAAACAGCCACTTTCTTCTAAGCAAAAAAAAGGCACTTCAAGGTTAGGGTGATGTTTAGGTATTAGCATTAAAATGTTTTACCTACAATATCATCTGAACATAGTTGCAAGAGTATTAAAATGTCCTTATTCTTTTATATTATTACATTGTATTTTTACAATCTAATTAGTAATCATCAGAAACTCGAGGTATGAAGAAACAAATGTATTACCCTAATATTCTAACATCAGTCTGGCAGAAAGGGATACACGCCCATGTGAAAAAGGGCTCCTTTGATTTTTACACTCACTTTAGTTAATAGAGTTGGCGCACAGCAGAAAACAGGTGAAGTGAATATGGATATTGCAGGTGGTTTTCAAAAGTAAGCACTGATTTGAGGTTAAATGACTTTAAAAAATCTAGTTGGTGCCTATTTTAGTCAAAAACTATGGAAATATGTTATGTTCAGATAACCAATATTTCAAGAACAAAGCACTCTAGAATCTTACCCAAAAAAAGGACTAAAATAGTATCAAAGGGTTAAGTTAAACTACTGACTGCTTATTGTGCAAAAAACAGGCAAGGTAAGATGACACAGCGGTCCGGTCCGGTCCGGTCCGTTTGAAGGAGCTGTCACCAGCCAGAGCTGAATAATGTTAGCGTCTGACTAATGACAGTAAGAGATTCTTAAACTATTGAGAATAGGAAAGTCCATTTTAATAAATGGAGAGTTTGATGAGGAATGTGGTTTCAATATATCTCCCCACAAAAATACTTATTAGTTCCAAAGAGTAAAGGAGTAACTTCACAATGGAAAAGTCTCTCGGAAAACACTTCAACCAAGTGACCAAAGCCAACCTCACTAGAACTTTCAAGGGGCTGTGTCCTTTTCATTCCCTTGCTTTTTGGCACAAGCAGTAGTGAGTGGTTTAACGTAACAAATCAAATTAATAAGTTATCTCCAGATGGTCAGAATATGGATGAGTTTTTTCCTAATATGCATTCTTCTATACTGTACAAACCTACAACGAACAGGCGCTACTTTTAAAAAAGTGGGGAGACTCGGAGTCTTGAGCCCGTGCTGTGTGCCTGGGACATCCTCTTCCCCACCCCTCCCCGTGTTTCTCTACAGTAATTCCAGAATGAATTCGCTTCAAGTCCTCCATGAAAGCACTTTTTTTAATCACTTCAGATTACAATGGTTCTTACTACAGACAAGAATGAATTAAACTGGCAGTTCCCAGCCACTTTGGTCTTAGGACTCTTTTACTGACTATCTCCAAGAGAAACTGACTTCTAAAATGTTTTAAATTTATTTGAAAATAGCACACCCATTTCACGTTAACATACATCTTATGAAAAATAACTATCTTCCAAAAAATTTAGTGAGAACAGCACTGTTCACATTTTTGTAAATCTCTTTAATGTCTGGCTTAATAGAAATCAGCTAGATTCTCCTATCTACTTCATACCTATATATCAACCTTGACCCAGATTTGTCATTAGAAAAGATTCTTCTTTGATACTGCACCAAAAATCCACAAGGGGTAGTTTTTGTAAAGTTGGCTGCAATGTGGAATCTGACCGTGTCGATGACCTTTTCATACTCTGTTACGTGAACACCCATCGGTCCAGGTGAGCTCCCTCTCGTGGGCTCGCCCACACCCTTCCCTTCCCCCTCTTCTTTGCCCCAGGCTTGTTACCCTTGCCTTTGTCTCCCCTGAACTTCAAGGGCCCTTCAGTTGCCTCTGTTACTCATCCTGAGCCCACACAGTCCAGCTGGCTCACTTCTACTACCTCCGTAATTTTCTAAATAAACTATCACCTATAGTTTGAAAAAAAAAAAATCCATTGGTCCACTGTGAACTTTGAATGGATCTTTCACCCATGCATGACTTTGTAATATCATGCACTAGTTTTTGGAAAATACTGATTCACTGAATTATGCTAATCTTTTAGATGCCGACACATTTCATTATACAGTATTTTTTTTTAAATCTCATTCGTTAATATCTGATCTCATCGAGATAAATTTGAGAATTGGAAAACCATCAAGCTCACAGGGGAGGATACAAGTTTTCAAAACTTTAATTTTGGCTTAAAAGCTCAAATTTAATCATTGGCACTGCTTTCACAGAAAGCAGCTAAGTTATTTTTCTTCGGAGAGATACACCTTATTAATTTTCTAGAACATATCTACTGAATATTCAGGAATGAAAAACCAGTCTGTCAGTTTTTTAAAAGTAAAAACGGCGCTCTGTGGGGGGAAAAGGGTGATTCCCCTGACAACTCCAATGGCTGCACAAGTGCTCTTCCTCAGACAGGCACCGCGCACTTCGGCGAGCAGCAGATGTCTGTGTGCTTCCCACCGTGTCACACCGAATATTAAAGTTGTGCCCTAACCGGTGTGGCTTAGTTGGCAACCCCGCAAAGTGTGAGGCTGCCATTCTGATTCCCAGTCAGAGCACGTGACTGGGTTGCGGGTCCATCTCAGGATAGGGTGTGTACAAGAGGCAAGTGATGGATATTCTCTCCCTCTCTTTCTCCCTCCCTTCCCCTCTCTCTGAAAATAAATGAATAAAGTCTTAAAAAAAAGTTGTGGCTTCAGGTCAAGAGGGTAACGTAGGCAGACATGGCTCACCTCTTCACACAACCACATCAAAAATACAACTAAAATATAGAACCACTATCATTCGGGAACCTCAGAAACTGAGTTGAATGGAAGTCTGATAACTATGTAATTGAAGAAAACACATCCATTTAGTCTGGTAGGAAGGGCATGGACGCAGAACGTGCTGGCCCCACACCCACATGGATGAAAAGTCAGAAGGGAAATCCTGGGAGCAAGGAGTCCCAGACCCACTCCAGGCACCCCCGCCCAGGATTCCAGTGCCAGAAGATAAGTCCCCACTTCTGGCTGCAAAAACCAGGGGGGACTGAGTCTGTGGAGGCTGCTGGAGCCCGAAGCAGTTCCTCTTGGGGAACCCACACAGAGACTCACCTACTCTGACTCCCTCCCTCTGAGCTCCAGCACCAGGGTGGCAGCTTGAAGGGCACCAGAGGTATACAGGGAAGAACTGAAGAGTCTGGCATTGGGGCAAGCAGAGGCCATTGTCCCTTTGCTGAGCCCTCCCCCAAAAGAGCCGGTAGGCAAGTGCCATATCTGAGGCTCCATCAACCTGGCTAACAGTGTGACCCACTTTGAAGATCCACAGCGGCTCTAGCCCACCCAACTTACAGGCCCACCAAGGCTGCTTTTCCAGAAGAATGACTGTCTTGACTCCTAAATCCTCTCAAACCAACAACAGCTGGCCTCAGTGAGCTCCAGGCTGGCACTAGTGGCAGCCAGATTAGTCACAGTTTGGCTTCACCTGGGAATCTCCAAACCCAGCACAAGTAGCAGCCATCTCAGATTGCTTTACAGCTCAGGCAGGATACCCTGGGTGAAATGTGTTTCACCCAGGCCGTAGGGGCTGACCTTGGCCTGCACCACCCAGTATACCCAGTGGACAGCTACGGACCATGACAGAGCACCACCGCATTGTCCCTGTACACCTGATCCTCCGTGGAGGGCAGAGGTTGGTGGTCAGTCGTCACAGCCAGTCTTTGCAACTGATTGGCCTGGATAAACCCCTCCCATTGATCTGCCAACAGCAACCAAAGCTCAACTACGAGAGAAGGGGGGTGTACTCAGCCCAAACAAAGGGCAAACCACCAGCACCCAGCTTGGGTGACTGTGGAGGCTGTGCCACTGGACCCTATAGGACACCCACTACATCAGGCCACACTACCAAGACAGAGTCATAGCAGCTCTACCTAATACACAGAAACAAACACAGGGAGGCTGTCAAAAGAAGACAAGGAAACATGACCCAAATGAAAGAACAGATCAAAAGTCCAGAAAAAGAGGTAAAC